TGATATTCCAACTGGTTGGGGAGCATTGGGACATGTGGCATTGGATCTCTCCAATGTCAAGTGGTCTGCAAAGAAATTCTACAGCAGATTTTTTTTTTAACAAGGTGGCCTAAATGATGGATCTGGAATAACTTTTCAGTCACCTGGCCGTTGACTCATATATACATTTTACTCTCCACCTGATAAGAAATTATTCTTAAAAAATTAAAGTCAGCCCTAATCTAATTCTTCTGGCTCCATGTTGATTGACGAAATTGTGACACTATAAATCATCTATTTAGAGTCCCAGTGTTGTTCTTCCAAACTTGTTAATGCAGGACACATTAAGGTACTCAGGTCCTGCTTGTCTTTTGATTTTGGCCCTTCATGGGAGGGGAAGATGCTAAGAATGGTTGTGTGTCAGTGTTGGTTGGTTCCCCTGTTCTCTTCCACGTCCCATATTATATGTTAATATATGGACACTTTTTCTTCCTAGGGTAAAGATAAGTACTTTGGAGTTAAACTTACTACTTTCCCCTGTATATTATACTTTTTGTCAAGAGTTACAAACACATATTAAAAATCGTCATGAAGCCAAAAAGAAAAATTCCACCCAATAATGCAACAATGTAGTTAGGAAAATTAATTATAGCATTGCAATGAATATAGAAAGATTTGCAACCTATGAAATATCTGTCTCCACTTAACAGGAATATTGCAAAAAAGACCACACGCCCTAATAAAGGGTCATCCAAGGAACTAACGTCGAGAAGAAAAATGAGATTTAAATGTGATTGTAGTGGGTTATTTTTTAAGATACAGTGGGATTCATTATACTCCAGGAAAAAATACCATACTTGTTTATTCGTGTATTGTGGCTTGTATGATACTTGCATTTAAATCTGTTCAATAATTCATTTTGTTGCTTCATTCCTTTTTCAAAATTTGGAATAAAAGTTAAGTAACACTAAACAATATGAACCCCTTTGATTTAGTTAAAAATACAATATATGTAGATATAGATCAAATTGCATTCAAATGCAACCCAACTGATTTTTGAATGAGAAATACCACTTAAAAGGGAAATACTTTGATCTTGGAGACTTTATAAACAGCCAAATGAAAAATAAAAGGGAGAGGAGGGCAGGAAGAAAAAGTATTGTCTCAATGCATACTTGAATGAATAAATCTTTTGCAGATTACTAATAGTCAATAATGTTATTTGGAGAATTCAGAGATGTTCTGTTTTGAATCAAACATATTTACACTTAAAATCACTCCACAAATTAAGTAGTTTGACCATGAACAGATGCTAAAAAGTAAAGTTAAAAAACGTGATTTGTTACAAGGGCATAATTATTTGTAAAGCTTAATTGTCTAGCTTTTGAATAAACACTTTTTAATTTTTGTTTGCTTGTTTTTTCCAGAGAGCACAATCAGATGAACTGGAAAAAATAGAAAAGCATGGCAAATCATCCAAAGAGAGGGAGAATGCCAAATCTTTGGACAAACCTGAACAGTAAGGACACTGTCTTCAACAGAACAAGTTTCCTGGGAGATGCGTATGCTGCATTCTTTAGGGAAACTTAATGTGCTCTAGTAACCTAACTAGAAGTGTTACGAAGAAACAAATAGAAGTGGAAAAACCTTCACTAACTAAACTAAATCATTTTCTTTAATCATTCCTCCAGGTTTCTTTATGAACTCTCACTAATCCCCAACTTTTCAGAACGAGTATTTTGTATCCTGTTCCAATCAACATTTTCAGAAACCATTTGCTCTATCCATCGCAAACTTGAATTGCTACAGAAACTGTGTGAGGTAGGTTCTGGTCCGTATAAAGGTAGAGCTAGATTTTCTGATATTTAATCTTTCTTGTTCAGCTGTACTCATATTTCAAAAGTTTTCTTTTATTTACTTTAAGCACTCATTAAATCTGAGGGATAGCAGTCCTGCAGAATGGAACATTTTATGATTGTGCTCCAAGATCAAAGCAAATTTTAAAATTGGCTTTCGCTGCTGAATTATAACATCATGAGTTTGCAGCCAATACACATCAGCCTCTAGAGAATACTGTAACTTCTGCTTTTGCCAAAGCAAAATCTTCCATCTTCATAGTTACTGTCTCACTTCTTGCACTTTCCAGAAGAGTGCCATTTTAGCTCGTTTTGAGTTCATGCTTTGATTCTGAATGTGTTTGTTCAATAGATCTGGAATATCTGATCTAAATGAGCTGTCTCCTTAACAACAGATAAAAGGTCACATACTTAAATTAATACTATGCAAATTTCTTAAACCGTCTTATTAAAGAGAAATAATGCCAAATCTGCTGTTTGTAATGTGTCTTGAAAAGGTTGCTATAAAATTAGTACTAAATCAATAGCTTTGTTGAAGTAATGCAGAGTTCGTTTTTCATAACCTAGTGCTTGTAAGAAATATTAAAATATTTAGGATAAATTTAATCTTTATACAATGGGCATTTTAAAAAAAGAATTACTTCTTCTTCTTAGAGATGTGTGTTCCCTAAGGCCTCAGTCCAACAAGTTGTGCCATATGCTGCATATTTATTGTTTTTGCAGAACTGATTGCCGGATCAGGGACCAAAGTAAATGCACTGCTTGGGAATACCATGGTGTGCTAAGAAAGTACTGTAGCCTCTTCCTGAATGGTCAATCTTTTGTTATACCTCAGACTTTCTTTTTGCATAAATAGGGCCCTACCAAATTCACGGCCATGAAAAATGCGGCACAGATCGTGAAATCTGGTTTCCCCTGTGAAATCTGTATAGTATAGTAAAAGTACACACAAGACCAGATTTCAGGGGGGAGACCAGCGTTTCTCAAACTGGGGGTCCCCAACAAAAGAGGGCTGTGGGAGGGGGAGGGGAGTCTCAAGGTTATTGTAAGGGGGTTGTGGTATTGCCACTCTTACTCTGCACTGCCTTCAGAGCTGGGTGGCTGAAGAGCGGTGCCTGCTGGCCAGGTGCCCAGCTCTGAAGGCAGCGCCCCGTCAGCAGCAGTGCACCATGCCACCCTTACTTCTGAACTCCACTGCCTTCAGAGTTGCGTCAGGACCCTACAGTTACAACACCATGAAATTTCCGATTTAAATATCTGAAATCATGAATTTTAGAATTTTTAAAATCCTATGACCATGAAATGGACCAAAATGGACCGTGAATTTTTAGGGCCCTATGCATAAAGAATGTAGTCACTCGAAACCTACAAATACCATTTTCCCCTCAAATACCGTTTTGAGAGTAATCAGGTGTGCTAAAATTAGAGTGAATTTAATTTGCTGCAAGTTGTGTCATTATTGCGTTAGATTTGAGTGTCCCTGATATGAGTGTGTGATGTTCTCCAAAATTATAGCTACAGTGTAAAATGCAACATCAAACGGCAATCTAAAGCTTGTAACTATTCTGTTAATTACTGATATCCATAATTAATTTTTTTCTTTAACTTGTTAAGGATTTTAACTGAGATTTTATATATATATATCTTGTTTTACAGACATTGAAAAGTGGGTCAGGAGTTATGCAGGTTCTGGGTTTGGTTCTCGCATTTGGAAATTACATGAATGGTGGAAACAGGACACGGGGACAAGCAGATGGGTTTGGATTGGACATTCTTCCAAAGCTGAAAGATGTTAAGAGCAGTGTAGGTCAATATTCCATTCTTTATGAACAGAGTGCTGCTTTATCGCTCTTTTCTTAATAAATGTTTTCCATACCTCATATAAAGTTAAAGCTAGTATCAGACAGAAATATTTATCAGTGGATACAACTTTGATTACACTTATAGAGTGAATTCATTTGTAGAACCATTTGGAAAGGAATCTGCCTTCTCTATGGCTATTAAACTGATGAACAAATCAGTGTCTTACATTAGAAATTGTCTTACTTCCTGAATGTGTATATTTGAATCTCCATATGCTGCATATTTGAGTGTTTTCTTCGATATAATTAATTTTACTCTTTAAAATCATATATGTTTCAGAAGTGGAAACTGTTGTAACAAAAACAGTTCCAGTAAATACCGATTTTGGAGTATTTGGGAGAGAGAAAATGGAGAAAAATGACTGAGTAGGTGTTATAGTTACCATATAAAATACCTAATACCGGGAGCCCTAATATCTAAAATGTGATGTGTTTCCTATACTGAAAAATTGGATGACCCAAGATTCATCATATGAATCTGTCAGGCCTGTATATACAACACAGAGAGTCACTGGGCTGTGGAACAGTTTCATGAAAGAAATGGTATGATGGTAAGTATCCTGTTATTAAAGCTGCCTAGCATAGCCATTTGGGTGAAGATGGTAAGCAAGGCAAAGGCACTATACACCCATGGTTATGGCACTGACTCCTGGAGTGAGCTGATTATATCAGAAACTCAGCTTTCATTTGAGAAAGCAAAGTAAGTTTCAGGTCTTCATGGTTGTGAAGAAAAGCTTGAAAATATGACCTGAGTATAACTGTGATGGTATGTCTGTGCGCAGAGAATGAAATATTTTATTTCATTTAAGGCCCCAACTCAGCAGAGTAGTTAAGAACCTTTTTTCCTTTAAGCACTTCCTTAAGTCCATCCCTATTCAGCAAAGAACTTAAGGGTTTGTTTTGCTTTTAACAGCATAATTCAGTAAGGAATATTAGCTTCCATGCAGAATTCCCTTGCTCTTCTAGGATAAAGGTGCTTTAATTGTAGCTTTAAAAAAAAAGTTAATAGACTCTAGTATACTTTAAATATGACTTAGCAACATAATAAAATTTAACTTTATTATTTTGTTTTTTCTACAGGATAATAGCAGAAGTCTTCTATCATATATTGTCTCATATTATTTGCGTAATTTTGATGAGGTGAGTGAATTATCTTTGCAAATTTAAATAAAATTAAATAAACTAATTATTAAAACTTGTATTACCTTATATTGGTTAAGATTACTTTAATCTGTATATTGTTGTTCATAATGTGTGATAACTGTCCACTACTTGTTTTAATAAGTAAAATTTTAATAAGTGCTAGTCATTTAAAATTTTAAAATTTATACCTTTAAAAATAAGGTAAAGTAAATGTTCATTTATATTTTTGTCAGGACGCTGGAAAAGAGCAATGCATCTTTCCTCTTCCCGAGCCACAGGACCTCTTTCAGGCTTCACAAATGAAATTTGAAGACTTTCAAAAAGATCTTCGCAAACTAAAAAAAGATTTGCGAGGTACTGTAACTAGATCAGACTACAGATATGTCGATAACATATAGTTCTATTTCACTTTTTGTATAATTTCTGGAAACTTGCGGATATGTAAAATATGTTATGAAAGGTAGATCTTAACTCCTATGTTTTGCCTTTGTATCCTTGACTTGATTAACTCTAGTGGTTGATGTTTTTATAGCGAGTGATCAGCATATGTTATAGCCATGTTATCAAGATTTTAAAATGAATTGCATGTCAGGAAGATGTTCAAATGCAGTGCTGAGTACTGCTGAGGAGTAAAGATGAAGCAGCATAAACTAGCTGCCCCAGGTAACCTGGAGACAACCCCTGCCCCCAGTTCAGCCATGTGAAGTGAGTTCATACAGTAGCTTTTGCAGTTTTCAAATGATTATCTGGTGGATATTGTCTGATCTCAATACCTGAGAATGGAGGCATTTAGATGCTGATTCAGAATGGTTCTTGAAGTTAGGTGCAGGTTTAAGTACTTTCATGGATTGAGGCCATAATTCCTCATATGTTGCCATAAGAAATTGACAAAAGCTGAAATATCTTTCCATTAAGAGTGAAATTTGTACCATCCATATGGAGTTATTGGGCCTTGTGGGGGGGAATTAAGCAGAGGTTATATGGGGATGGAAAATCTATTTCCTCCTCAACCTACCAGTGGGGCTGCAGCTTGATCCCTCTAGTGCCATTGCTTCAGCCCCTAAATTGGAATAGTGACTGCTCAGTTTGTTAGGGCTACTGAATCCATGTAACTACATTTTCCATGATCTCTCCTGTACACTTATCTTAGCAATAGCCAATTTGGGCACAGTGTAGGGAGCTCTTCCAGGTCCTATATAGAGGAACCCACTCAAAGCCAATCCACAGTCCTTCACAGCTTTACTGCAGGTTTTGAATGGTGCAGAATGTCTTATGCTGGCCCTTCACACCATGGAAGAATGTCAACCTAAGTGCAAAAACTAGTGTTAATACAACATTAAAATTACAAGTTCAAGTACTCACAAATCAGGAAATTTCAACAGTTAAAGTTGCTCTAGCTAAGTTAAGCTCACCACCTTGGACACTTTATGCATTATCTGGAATAAAGTAGTGCATTTAAGGTTTACAATGGGGCAAAGTTAACCATGCACAAATGCTATTTTTAAAATGTAATATAACTTTTAACTGAAAAAGAGAGAAAATGAACCTGGCTTCAATTGCCTTTCTTAGAACTATTTATTTAGCTCATGCTTTATTCAAGCATTGTTGATTTTCCAATGGACCTTATAAATTCCTTAAACTAGCAAGTTCCTACTTAAATAGCTGAACACTTAGGGCTTGAATCTGCAAGGTGAAGACCATCTCCTGACACAGTACTTCTCTCCATTTCACATCAGTGATAGCTGACAAAACTCAAGAGATGTTCAATACCTAGAAATATCAGACCCTTAACTAGCTGTGCACGTGCATTCACGTTTAAATGCAAGGTTGTAGACTCACAGTGAAATTCTGATCCCATTGCAGTCAATGGCAAATCTCCTATTGACTTCAGTAGGGTCAGAATTTCACCTTTAATTAATATTTTTTATAAATGCAAGTCAGAAACATTCAATCACTCATAACTTTGGTACAACAAAGACTGTTTTCAATTCAAACAAAGGCACCAGTCAATCAGGACTATGTCCATTTCACTTTTCAAAAATACAGTGTCCCTATTCAAAAAGTGTTAAAATTTTATTACAATGGGCTTTTTTCCTACCCTCCCAATATTTAAAAAAAAATCACAGAAGAAAAAATTTACCTTTTGAATAGAGACCAGTCATGGGAAACCTCAGTCCAGTAAGTTTGTTTCAGAATGAGATTGTAATGAAGGCTTATAATGGAAACATTTGTAACCATAAGTCTAGCAACTGATTTCAGCAATTGCTATATTTTCCAATCTAAATATGTAAGTAACACACATGGAGACATGCAGACTTAAATCATCTTTGATTTTTTTAAATGATTTCTGTGTAATGCTAATTCACAGTGATAAGCTTGGATGCTTGCTTGTATCAAAGGGGTAGGTTTTTTGATTTCCTTCAAGGGGAAAAAAAACACTTGTGATTTCCATATCTTTATACTTTTCCCATTATGACTGCATAGGCTTTTGTCTGGGTTTAAGTTTATGAATTGTATGCCTTGCAGTTTGCAAATATTAGTGAACAAAACCTCTTCCAAGTGTTTAATTAGTCTAAAAGCTTCAATCTAAAAGATTTTCAGAAAAGTAAGTTGGATGCCTACCGCCTTCTTGCTTGGAACAGAGATTTCAGTTACAAAATGGTAAAAAAATAAGGAATTAAAGATGTACACAAATTACAGTGTAAACTATACATTATTAAACTCACAGGCAGTTTATTTCTGCTGTTCTTGTTTAAAAAAGAATATATGGTGGGGGTTAATGTGTTATGTACTAGACATTTTAATAAACAAGAGACTGAAGAACAGCTAGGTGTTTTATTAATATACCTACTGAGTTTGGCTCCATCAATTGCCCCCAGATTTCTCAGCTCTCCAGGATTCTCAATTTAGCCTTTCTGAGTTCAGTGACATATAGTTTGTTAAGCAACCTGATCTGCTTTTGATCTCTCCTGGCTGTCAGCAGCCCTCCTTCATGCAGTCATGCCAAGTAATGACTTCTGTTCTTATGTCATTCCACAAGAGAAATTTTAGCACTTGCCACATGACTTAAATCAACTGACCATGTAAAGAAAGTCAGGCAGCTAGGGTCACAAAAACAATGGAAGAAGATTTTTGATGCAAAGGTTTCTGCATCGTACGTATCTACTATTTTGGATTATCAAAGTAATTTTCTAGATGTAAAAAGGTATTTTTGTTTCCATTACTACGTGGATTTTGAAAGCTACCTTTTAGGTGAATCAAAGACTTTCACTGGAAGTAAAAGGGGGCTGGGTCTCCATTGATACCTGGCATCTGAGGTACAGTACTCATCAGCAACTACACCAAATTCTAGCCATTAGAGTGTTGGTTGGGGGAGAGGAAGGCTAGGAAGAGAATGTAGAAAACTGGACTTGGATTCAGGATAGGGAAGAGGTAAAACGCTAAAAAGGCAATAAGTAGTACAGTGTTTGTGAAGCACATCTTATGGTGAGTTTAAACCATCTGGAAATGGCTCTTGGAATATGTTGTCATGGGAGCTCTACAATAGTAAATTAGTTCACAAGCATAAAATTAATCAGTTGTAATCTATTGCACAACTTCCACTAAAGTTCCAGTGAAATAGAATTAAAAACACTAGGGGGTTAGATTTATTTTCTGCCTAACTAGTAAAAATTTAAAAGCACCCCACCAAGTATAGTATGAACAGACTGATCTAAAATCTTGACTCTGCCAGAGTTTGTTTGCATGTCATGATGTGGTAGTACTATTATCATATTCAATTGACAACCATTGACATTACAAATTAACAAGGTAATTGTGGCGACTTAAACAATATGCTTTTTAGTGCTATTTTGTATGTATTCTGAGTACTTAAGATTCACTGAATAATCGTGCATCTGCAGGGGGATTACCCAATCAGTCTTTCCCATCTCTGAATTATGTGACTGAAAAATGTTTATAAGAATACTTAGCACTTGTGGAGAATGTCATATTTTCAAAGTACTTTCCAAACAAGCTTCAGCAACCCTGAGAGGTATACAAATATTCCTGACTTACCACATCTACCATTTTCTTCTGCTTTCACCTGGAACTATAAGCCTCTGCTCTTGTGTCTATGACTTGACCCATGGAGAGCCAAATTCACAATTTGCAAAGCAAGCACCATTCACGAGTGGTAATGAATTAGGTCAAAAGGGCGGTAATATCATGTACTCACAGGTTAATGTCCAAAAGCACATCACCCTCATCTGTACTTGAACGTCATCCTCATTCCTGCAAATCCCTATTTGTCCCCATTTTCAGCCTGTATCCACCTTCAACTATCCTCCCAACCATTTGCACATGATGCTTGGCATCAGATTAGTGCTGATCAAGGGAGCAGCCACAGGGGTCACTCAATGATTTGCTACCCCTCTCCCAAACCAGGCGTGAATGTGCTTCTATGCTTGTATTCCCACTTTTTGGGGAAGTGGAATAGAGTAAGTTATATGAGAAATTCCTCAACTCTGAGTGGGCTGAATTCATTGTCTCTGCAATACTCCTCTTGCTATCTGTTCTAAATATATTCTGTAGCACCATCTCATAATTTTTTTAATAAATTCATCAATGTGTCATCATTTTTAGACTCAATATTTAAGTCTTGCAGTCACATAAATTAAAATTTCTACAAATGTTAAGACTTTAAAAATGATTAAATATTTTTACAGTTTTCTATGTGTGAGGCAGTGTGATGAGATACAGAGCCAGATGTGAAATATTAACATGCTCATTTGCAGAAAAGATGCTTTTTGCCTTTTTATTAATAAATGCCAAATCTGTCAAGATAAATATTAGTTAAAATATACCAACACATCTGTGCTTCAGGCAGTCACTCAGTTCCAGTTATTCAGAAGCATATAGAGCATTCTAAAAAAAAATTAAAATATTGCTTTTGCTTATAAATCATCAACTCTGCATCAACATACTCCAGCAGCTTGTGCAGCCATCATTGAAGGGGTTAATTACTGAAACTGTGCGGCATGCAGACTCCTAAACCTAAACCAGATGTAAACTAAAGCCAGGCTTTCAGTCAATCTGTGAGTCATGTTTTACTGTCCTTAAAACTCCAAACAAGGAGCTGTCTATGAAAGCCCTTGAAGCCTGAGCAGTTCTTAGTGTAAGTCTTAACAATACCAAAAAAATAAATAAAAGAAAACTGAGAGCTTGTTCTATTTGTGGCAGAGTTTGTCTTTCAGATGATGCCAGATTCATTCCCCTTCATTAAATTCTTAGCTATCCTTAAAGTTACAGATGGTAGTTGTAAATGTTACATGAAGACACTGGAGGTGCTGGGAAAACAGTGGTTAAACCTTACA